TCATACAATCGTCTATAAAATGTACCAATTATCAACAAGGGCGCCACATACCCTTCTAAAAGCTCACGAGATATACATTCAAGTACCAAATTGATCTTTAAACGGAACGAATTAGTTTGTTTGTTTAGTGGAAAAGTTCTTGTCTCAATGCCAACTGAAAATTTTTAAATATTTATACTAATGACATTTGTATGGAGATATCAGTTTCTAAAAATATTGTCAAATAGCAGAAAATTACTATAAACGAAAATATTATTCTGAATCATCTCAATAAAATATATCTTTTTAGGAACCAAAAAAGATAGAAAGTTTCTAGTCAGAATAATCGGTTTTCATGATTTTGGAGACTCTTAGACTATTTTCATAGATACATGTTAGATAAAATACTCACTTAATAAATACGTGATATGCCTTATAAATTGCCTCTCTGATATAACATTGTAATCAGTCATAGAACCAAATGTTTGTCGCCACAATCTCATTTCTCTCGACGACGTTGCTATTAATTGTCTTTCGTTTATAGAAGGGAGTTTTGCTGTAACAAAGAGTTAAATAAATATGAGTTAGAATGTTTTACAAGGATTCGAACCCCGACCAATGGATTATTGCGCAACTAGCAATTGCTAGTACAGTGACCCTAAGACCCAAAAATTTAAGTGTAGGCACACCTTAATACTTGTCATTAAAAATGGCTAAGTAATGCAGATACATCAATTCACTAAGATTCATAAAGCATTAACCGCCATTGGATTGTAAATTGTTTGCTGTAAATATTAAGTGTGCTTAGTGTTACAAAAAAATTAATTGGCTTTGATTTATTTTTGTACAGACGGAACTGCAAAATGCAAAATTAATAGTTACGGAACCTGTCAGTATTAAAGGACAAAAGGCCACATCATAGACCTGAAAACCATGTTTTAAGTAGAGCAATATTCAACAAAATCTCATATCGTTCTATTTAATAAGTTTTAATAAAATGGAAATCTGCTTAAATTTATTAAAACTATTAGTAAACCATATTACATGTTGCATATAATGATCACTTACAAACAATATTCCAAATATCTACTGGTATGTCCTTGTCAACTTGCGATGCTAACTCCCAAATGTTCAATTCATTTAACTCTGTACAATTGCTGTTAGCCTCCGACACTTCTTCTGTTTTTGGGAAGGATATCTAAGAATTAATCAGAGATCAGTCCCAAATTAATTTTATATGAAAGACAAGATGAAGACGCATTTTGTTTGATTGTGATTGGTGAACCACAAAGGTGTGTCATATAGCGTGTCTGTGATTGGGCTTGGAATAACAAATGGTTATTAATGTGTTTATTGGTTAAAAAATGTTATTTTAATACGTAAAGTTCTAAAATCTTTTTGATTGTATCAAACATTTTTACCAAGTTATATGAAATATATTTAGTACATTATTCTAAACTTGACCCACAGTGATGCTCATTCTCTTTGGCGGAAGTTGTAACTATACCATAAGTAACATTTATTTCTTTATTGAAGCTCTGAAATGTAATTAGATTACTGTACTGTAACATGTAAAATTCATTGTACCTTAGGTGCCACAGTTGCTTTAGGTATTATAAGATCCCTTGGAGTAGTAAGCCGTGGTAAATTATATATGTCACATTCAGAATATGGTGATACTTGTGTTGAAGTTGCTGAAGATAATGTTATTGGAGTGAGAAATGATTTAACTTCTGTATCCTTTATTGTATTACAATTTTGCACCACTGGAAACAAAGTATTCATATTAAGAACAATACAATACTATCGCAATTGGTGTATATTTATAATTTAAAAATAATATGTCAAAGTAAACTTACAAGAACTTGAGTCAATGTTTGTCACTGTGTATTTTATAAAACTGTCCTTTCTACCATTTAAGTCAGTGTCTTTGCTTTTTAATTTAAATGGTAAATGAAATATATAAGAAGGATATAATGAATATGGTTGTGGAGAACCAAAAAATTCCTTGTTTGGCTTTGGAAGCATTTCTTCTAACAATCCAAAGGAAAATGGTCTCTGAAAATAATATTCATTATTCAAAAATCTTAATCCAATAATTTCCATAAGAATAATTGTAATTTATTACTCTGAAAACAAATGTATATTAATTTCCATTTGATCTGTAATTATGTTTAAATTAATCAGATTACTTACTTTTTTTACTACTTTACAAGTTAAAATACAAACCTGATGTAGTTCTGAAGATAAGTTATGTGTTTCTATGCTGTGGATACCTATAAGCACTCTTACTACACTGTATACATAATCACTATCAAGTTCTAAGCCTAACTTTTTTATAGTACTTATAGATTTCTTAAGATCAACTGCATGTTTATACTCAGCTACATTTGTAACTTTTTGCTGCAATGTGAATTGGCAGGACAGCAAATCAACAATTGGGTCACTGTTAGATATTGGCACACCTATTTTCGATTTATTTAATAAAATTTCATATGATTGAGATCTCATTTTCGAAGCAAGTTGTTTGACAGAAACTCTGCTCTGTTGACAATAATATTGTGCTGTTTTTTCACAAAGTTTGCTGAGTAATTTATAGACACTTCCATTTTCACCAGAAGTATATGGTTCTTTCATTGTCGATTAATTATTATTTATACTTTGATTTTCTTGTATTTTGCCCGACGCAAATGAAGAGTCTACCACGAATGATACATTTTTGAACACTTTTTATATGAACCTTTTGCCGGCTGTCTCGTTACTGAAGATCACAAAATAATAAATTTACGGTGGTCGATAATAGATTAGTAAAACTCAGTATTTTCCTTCTTTTAGTTATATTATATTATACAAACATATTAAATTAAAAAAATAACTCATTCATTCCGAATATTTTTTTTTTTAAATAATTTTATGGCCTGGTAGGCTGGTAACTACAATATTTTACTTCTTAGAAATAGACTCAGCAGTTTTTTTTTTTGGAGTTTATGGCCTGGTATCTAGACATTTAGGCCAAGACTCAGCAAGTCAGACGTCAGTAGCTCACGACACAGATAATACTGCCTGACAGCTGTCTGTCTATGTTAGTTACGTTTCTAAATATTTTCTGATTTCTAAAAATGATCTATGATTTCCATTCCACAGAGACAGCGGCTTCGAGCCAAGAGGAAAAAAATCCTTGGAGCTATGGTTGAACATACACAAAAAATTTGAAGTCGAATTGTTCAGCACCGCCTAAAAACAAATTACGTTAACTATAATATAGAATTTGGTCTGTGGCGTGTCATTTTCAAATGCATTGGTTACAATCACTTTCTTTGGCGTAGATCTCCGAAGGATCACCAACTGGGAAGATGCAATGACCAGAGCCAAAAGGCTTAAATGGAGATGGACAGGACACCTGCTCAGAGCCCAGAGAGCAAAATGGTCGAAAAAAGTCACCCAATGGACACAAGTCGCTACAACACCAAGCGAAAGAGAGGAAGACCATGTGCCCGGTGGGCTGATGACTTTAAAAAAGCCACTGGTCCTCTGGGGCAAAGACATGCTAGGGATAGGAAGCACTGGAAACAGCTGGAGGACGCCTTTGTGCCACAAAAGCAAGCTGTACAAGACGACAGCTGTGCTTGTTGAACTTTTTTTTAATATACATTTATATTTTGTTCTCTTGTATTAGTTGAAATAAAGGCTTTGAATCTTTGAATCTTGAAAATAATATAGAAAATGTTTAAAGCCAAATATTCTTACGTTTTACACGGTTTCTATGTAATATTTCTCTCCCTTACTATTTTACCATATAGATAACATCATCAAAAACGTGTTGGTCTCCTTCATCAAACTGAAATGGAAATATGAAATACTGAAATGAATAAAATAATTGACGCTATGCTATGACCTATAAGTGCCTAACATAATTATAGAGGCTTCGTGCGCAAATTAGTTAATAGAAATTCTTATTAGAAAAGGTGATACACAAAAGTGGCTCACTGAAAACAATGTAAAATACAATGAGGTATACACAATACCCCAGCTGTATGAATTAATAAAGAGGCACAAACCAGCACCAGAGTACAAAATCGATAATTTACTCAAAAATAAAGGACACAGTGTTCTTAGATTGCCACCATACCACTGCGATTTGAACACCAGAGAAATGATTTGGAGTTCTATGAAACGTCACCGATTTAGGAATGCTGCAATTAATACCAAATGGATTTAATGCAATATCAGCAGAAGAATGGCAAAAATATTGAGGTCATGTAAAAAAATTGAAAACGAATATATTAAAAAAGGTGGATATTTATCATAACTTTGAACAGTGACAGTGAAAATAGCGCTTCTTCAGATGATGAAACTGATGATTGTTATGGTTCGGGTTCGGGAATTTCTGGAATTCACCCTGTAAATTGATTAAATGATCACAATTATAATATTAAACTATAATTGCTAAAATTTGTGTTTATTTTTTACTTCATGGTAAAAGACTTACGGTCATGTGTATAAAAACACGATTCCTCTAAAACACTCCTTTATTCAATCTGTGGTTACGTCTTTTCCTTGAAAAATCTCTACCACAATATTTCAATCGACGTTTATGGAGTGTTTTAAGGAATCTGGTTTTTATAAATAAGACTGAAAAATTTTACCCTAAAAACTGCCAACTTTCAATTGAGGGAAACACTAGGTTCGACTCTAACTCAGATTTGTAGGCCTATAGTCTGAAGTGTCTTATTTATCTGGGAATAACATTTGTGACTACTGACTAATACTTCGCTAGAACTTAGAAGTAATAGTGTTCTGACTTCTGTACTACTTCTCTACTAGTTACTACATCTATGATCTAACATCTATCTGTGGCGATTAACGAGACCGAATTTGACAAAATAGATATAAAATAAAATTAACCTTAAAAGTTCAATACTAATTTATTAATTTGCAAACCGGACAACTAGCTACTAACTACTAAAACAAGTTCAAATAGTTTGAATCTACTTTAATATAATTTAAACACCTATGTCAAAATGAACCAAGCAGATGTTACCAAATTAGTCTCTAAGTTGCGAATCAAAGTACCTCCGAAGCACCGTCGCCTAAGCTGTCCTGAAGGACCAGAGGGCAGATTAAATAAGCTGAGAAAAACTGTAACCGGTTTAATTAAATATGAAAGGATTGAACTTAATTATTATCGAGGAGATGAAGCCCGACAGTATGCTGAAAGGGTAATAAACAAAACTTGAAACTGATTTCTTTTAAAACATTTGTAAACAAACAAGTTGTAATATGCGTATGTATTTTGGTTTTAATTTTAAATATTATTCTATTAATAATACTTTTCTTGCAGTTAATTTCCGAAGCAATAAATCATGGTGATTGTCATAAGCCAACAATGGAGATGGCTGACTTTTGGCTCCTGGAAAAGGAGCTTGTTCACAAATTATTTAAAGTATTAGTTCCTCGATTTGAAAACAGTAATTCAGCATACACCCGTATGTTGAAAGCACCTAAACCTGCATATGGCCGTTACATAGATAAGGCAGTTTTGGAGTTAAGAGGAAATCCTTACCCTTCTTTGCAAAATAAACAAACAAATAATCGACAGTTGCTTCAGAATATACTACTTGATGCTGCTAAATATGACTATAGACAAGCTAAGTATGCTGAAATGGCTGAAAAAATTGAAAAATCAGAAGAATCTTCAAGTGTTAAAACCACAAATATAGAACACAATAATTAGAAGTGTTAGTTTTAAAATATAGTTAATGTTTTAATTTAGAATATTGCATTTTTACTTGTTTACCTATATTAACCTAGAAGTAATATAATACTACACTAAGGGTACAATTCAGAGTTGAGACTAAGCACTACTTGTGTATATCTCAACTTATTTATTCATATTGTCTGGATTTGACATTATTATGTATCAATGTAGGAAGTCAGAGGTCTTGTATAGATTTAGTTGTAACTTTTAAACAGGAAACTATGTTGATTTGGTATAATGTACATAATTGCTAAATGATATCTTAATTATAAGGTTCATATGACTATATAAAATATTATATATTGAATTGTGTAGTCGCCTTCTTCAGGTTTTTTGATGTCAGTTAAAAATAACACTAAATTTTTTACTATATGCTAAAGTTAGTTCATTATATTGGTAGAAAGAACCAATTCACAAATCATTTTAGTATGTTTCGCGATTAAGGGTTGTTTTTACATTAATAAATATAAAAACAATTTTAATTTGATTTTAGATCAAAAACAAACAACAATAGACAGTACATATTACTCTTTAAAGTTATCATACAATAGCTATATCTATATCATAAAATTCATTCCTTTGTGAGATAACACTGAACATATTCAACATTGTCACATAAAATACTGTTGATAAGTAAGTACCTACATGTCAAGAACGATTAAAACTTAGATTATGCCTTATTGTTTTCTTTTACAATGGCTTCTGTGTGCTAAGATAATGTTAATTACCTATAAATGCAATATTCTCGATTTCATTACTCATTTGACTTTTTTATTAAACACGTGTAGGCTGGAGCTGTCAAGGGATTATAATTTGTCCTGCAGTTAGAGACTAGAGTCTAGAGATTTGACTACGCTTGTGACAAGTGAATAAAATGGAGACTGCAATACCGAAGATAGTAGTCGTTGGATCTTGCAGCGTTGATTTTACTACGTATGTTGGTGATGCACTTGCCTTTAACATGCACTTATACAGTTGTTTAAGTGACAGCTGTTTTTTACATACCTAAATAATAATAATAATTGAGCTAAGTTTAATGTTTAAGTAAGCGTCAGGCGTACTTATGTAAGAACAAAAAGAGTTTCTAGACAATCTATAATTTTTATGACATCATTGATAGGCAGTATGATTATAAGGAATATTCGGTTATTTTTTCATATTTTAAGGGAAGTAGGTAAAGGTTTTCATAAATTATTTATGTAAGAAGTCACAAGTTAAAATAGACTTATGATCACAGATTACGATTTTGAAATATAATGGCCTAATGCAATAGGACAGGAACCAGCAAGCTTTCAAATTAAGCTGATTATACACCTATCCACTAATTTGCATATTTTCATTCTTATAATGTGGATTGACTAGCATTATTGCATTAGATCATATAAATACATATATATCATATTTATGGTTTCATGTAGCTACATGTAATATGTGATTCATGTCATGAAATAATACAAAATCATTATTTATATGTGTTTAAGATATGCACCTAGACTTCCATTACCTGGAGAAACTTTACATGGAACAAAGTTTACGACTAGCTTTGGTGGCAAAGGTGCAAATCAATGTGTTGCAGCTGCCAAACTAGGTGGAAATGCATACATGATAGCTAGGGTAAGCAATATTTACTATTTTATTTTTGATGCTTAGGTATAATACTCAAAGAATGCTACTACAGTATATATTCTAATATTTTTTTCTTAAATTACTGTTGAAGAGAATAAATATGATATAATTTTCTTAATAAAGGTTGGTGACGACTACTGGGGAAAACAGTATATTGATAATTTAACGAAATTCGGTATAAATGCACAACATACAAAAATAACCAAAGGCATTACTACTGGTATCGCTCAAATTTGTGTATCAGCTAATGGAGAAAATCAAATTGTTATTGTATCTGGTGCTAATAACTACCTTAGTATCTCAGATATAAATGAAAACCAAGAACTCATAAAGAATGCTGATATTATAATAAGTCAATTGGAGACACCAATCGAGACAACGTATCATGCCTTCAAATGCTGTAACGGAGTAAGTGCAGCAATATTTTCATGTTTTCAGTTACACTAGTAGTTTTTGAACTGAACAGCAAAAATCAATAAAGTAGATTTGATAAAGATTTATTTCACAGATACGACTACTTAATGCAGCACCAGCTAGTACAAATATAAAAGATCTTTTAGAGCACTGTAACATACTATGTGTAAATGAACCAGAGGCATCTTTTCTAGTCGGCTTTAATGTAGATGTGTCGTGAGTATAATTGTAAAGTTGAAAATCTTTGCTGGCTATGACATCCTGGTTCACTTGCTTTGGAGTGAAAGTGTATAAATGAAACTAATTTAGGAATAGTGCTGTTCACCATAGTGGAAATGTAAACGTAAACGTACTTAAGAAATATTGCATGTGGTATAGATAAAGATTGCATTGCCGAATAACATTTAGCACTAAAACAAATTAGAAGGAATTAAGTAGCAGAGATGTTTTACACTGTTATACATTTACTCTTACAGTGAAAGACAATTTTTACGAAATTGTAATTCCAATGTTATGACATTTCGCTTGGAATAAACAGTGTAATGTAGATATTACTAATCATTACAGGGATTTTTGAAGTTATACTCCTTTAGGCGCGTTATGAAAAATTGATGAGAGTGAAATTTTACGATGCGCGCGCACCGTGACACAAAATTAACAGAATGCAGTTGCCCACTAAATCGCTCATTAAGTTGAGGAAAAAATGCTACCAACAAAACAGAAATGGAACCTCTGTTAGTGGCGCATGTTGGCACGCTAGTCGCCTCTGTTCACTGTGTATTTATAATATTTATCCACATGCTTTGAGTTTCTACATTTAAAACACGTGTTTTCATTATACAAGTGCGAAGTTTATATGTGCGTCTGAATTATAATCAGAAATGATTTAAATTGAATATTTAAATCAATACTAATTAATTGTAGAAAATATTTGTGAAAAAACTCAACACTCACTCAAACTTCGTAAGTGCTTCAATACAATTGAGGTTAACTATCCGTATGTATTATTAATAATGCCAAAGAAGTATAACTTCTTACGCGCGTACATAAGTACACGCACCCTTTTTTTTCATGGCAACATTATATATTTCAGTTTATCTTTTAATGAGTAATAACACCAATTGCAACTTTTATTGTATTACAGCAATATCAAAAATGCACTAAGGAAGCTTTTAGAGTTAGGTTGTCAAACAGCCATCATCACACTTGGTAATAAGGGAGCTGCATATTGTAAGAAAGACGATGATCTTTATGTTCATGTACAGTGTACAAGAGTTGTCCCAGTCGATACAACAGTAAGTAATGTATTATTAAAAGAATTTAAAGATACCTACACTCTTTACCAAATATAAAGACACAATTAATAAACCATATATTTACAGGGAGCTGGGGACGCATTTGTAGGGGCGTTAGCAAAATTTCTAGTAAGCCATAAGAAAACTCCTTTGCATCAAATTGTTGGAGCCGCCTGTGACGTGGCTACAAAATCAGTTATGAAAGAAGGAACACAGCCAAGCTTTCCCGACAACTATAACCCTTTTCAAGTTCTTTATGAATACATTATTTTATAATTCCAAATTTATTCTTACATTTTCATTGTTACTACTACTTTTACGAAAATGAGTCCAGAGCACAAATAAAAATCACCATAATGCCATAACGACTTTTATTTCCTATAAACAAAGTCCCAATCACTATAACTAATATTAATTTTTACCTTAATTAAATAAAAACCTAATTCAAATAAAATATAGTCCACACAGATACAATAAGAAAATTGTAAGTGATTCGACGTATTATGTATATACCTCATTAATAACTTTATATTTTCTACCCTATTACGTACGTGTATTTGTACGCACTTAAATAAAATATACGTTCCTACTATTCTTTTTATATTGTAAGACCTTAAAATATTAGTGACCCAATATAGACATAAAACTTGACAAAATGGTAGTTTTGTTATGAACTTCAATGACGTAACCAAATGTAGTAATCTATGAAGGTAGTTGTTTCTGTGGAATTGGATAGCATTATGTAAGATTAACAAGTCGAAATATACTTTATATTTAATGTATGCGTGTCTTCATAATTTTTACGCTTTACACAAAATTCATTGAATGTTTACAACTGCAATTATTTACAGGGTTACAGGTACAGACATATCAAGTCCAAAATTGCAGCATTCATTTAAATAATAAATAATTACAAAATAGCCCATACTTTTTTTGGATAAATATTTGTTTAATCAAACATGCTAATTTATATGGTAATCGATTACTAAAGAGTGGTGTCGTGTATGGACAGCCTTACTATTTTCTTTAACAGTTTAAGTTTTTATAATATAACATGGATATAATGAGATATAGGTGTTACTAATTTTGTTAGGAATTAATATTGGAAAAATTTGTGTAAAATTTTGGGGTTGCTAGTTACAAAAACTGTAATGATTTACAGATTAAATAAATATTATAATTGTAGGACTCAACTCAATGTCCATGAGGGACAACAGAACAATCTAAATTAATAAAAATCTTATTCATAAACATGCTTTCATATAGATACATATAGGAATTTTTTATTTTAATAACTTATCGATAAAATTGTATTATAAAGAAGTTTAGATAAGTAACTATAGACATGATATAAGTGTAAGAGTGAAAATATTCCAAAGGGAGATAATGTATAATTATTAAGTGATTTTTAGTTGGTATTTTTTTCTTATTCAATTATAGCCGCAGTGTAACAATTAAGCATATATTATTGGTTTAAATAATCTTTGATCAAAACAATTATAATGGAAAATTCTTAAGGGTGCATAAGATTATATTTACATGTACACCTAAATTAATGTTGTTTTAAATTTTCAATTATAAGACTTGTATTTCAATAATTGTTTAACATCTTTAAAATACATATAAACAATATACTCATACAGACTATATATGTAACACATACACACTATTTAAAGTGGTATTATTGACAATCTCCAATAATACCTGAATGTCTTCTATACTAGTTATATACTTTGGTGCACCTATAAATTCAACAGATGTTTCCTCTATCTGTATATTATACCTTAAGTTTTTTAGACATGTAACAGATTTGTCACATTTTCCATCTAATATCTTTTTGAATATAACCTCTGTGACTTCTTCATACTTTATTGAGTGTGATTTAGATTCTTCTAGATTCTCAGCTTTAACAGGATCTTCGCTATCATCTTGTTTTACAGCTATTTCTATAGATTTATTAGCATCATTATTGTCATCATATATTGGCTGGCTTGGTATATGTTGTTCCTTTCCCTCCTTTAAAGCTTCATCTAATATAGATGGGCTGTGTGGTTTTTCTATATTATTTTTGAGTATACTTTCCTCAACTTCAGTGCTTGGTGTCATTGGTATATCTTCCTTTGACTTATTAATAACATCTTTTTCTTCTAATGTTTCATTGCTTTCACTATTCCCAAGAAGAATAGCTTCGACATCATTATTTAGATTAGATTTATTTTCTTGGGTTTGGTCTTTCTGGTTAGTTTCAGAAGTATTGTCATTTAAAATATCCATTATTGACGGAAAGTCATCCATTTTATTATCTGTGGTAGTATTTATTTTATTATACATAAGATCTTCTAATTCTGCTGCTATACGATTGTACATTTTGTCATCCTTTGGTTCTAGGCTTTTAGGAAAAAACTCTATACACCAGTCTTCATTTGGCAATAAACTTTTATTTATATGTGGAATTAAATCTGCTAATGTTATCTTACATTTTACATCATTAGCACCATTTACATTTGGATTGACAAAAATAATGCCATATTCTTTATTTTCTGAGAGAGTAGGCTTAATATTGAAGTTCACTTTTTTTAATACACCGGACTTACAGTTATTATTTTCCTTTAACACATTTAATGATTTAGAAGTGTTGGATGTATGTTTTTTAACCTCAGTGGTTCTGTCTTTACTGCTTTTGTTTTTGAGTTCTTTTGCAGAGTTATATGGATTTTTATTCAAAGACACTAATCCATTTTCATTGTTTTTTAACTTAATATTTGAGTTTTGTTTTGAAGATTTTGTTGCCTTTGGTGTTGAACTTTCGTATTGGATTTTAACTTTAGTAAATTTACCTAGGATCTTGGCAAAATCCATACGCGTTACTACTACTGTACATTCGCGACATTTTCCTTCTCTATAAAGCGTTTCTAAATTTCTCGCTAGCTTACTTTTCACACGCCTTCCAACTCTTGATTTATAACCAATCATAATGGTATATTTCACTAAACCTTTTTAAATAAACTACAAATATCAAAACGTAGCTCTAGTTATGAGTGACGATCGTAGATAACCACATTTCCCGCGCAGGCGATATTTCAGTCAAGATTTCACCAGTTATTCTGTCGTATCATTTAAATGACAATCAGTAACAATAGAATTTAAATTTTGTAATAGTCAATGCTCTCACACTATTTTTAATTCCAAAAAATATGAAATACTTAAGAAACAAACCACAACAATCACTATTAAATACTGAAAATGGCGTCTGTACAAGTGTCTACTGTCTACTGTCTGAGTGTCTAGTTTATACTTTATAGTTATGATAGTGAAGTCCGCATTTACATCATATCGATATTCTTTGTTTTGATATATAACAATTTCTATGTTTAGGCTATAATATTGTCAATAATTTATGAAGAGTATTGAATAAAACATCGTTATTCTAAATGTAATAAGATTTTGGACTATGACAGTCAAGCAAGACTGATAAGACTAATTATTATATACAATTTTGCACTAAACAACTTATCGTTTCACAATTCTGAATTCACCTTATTTACTTACAATAAAATCAGATTTTAAACTTTTATATTATATAAAATGAGTGCAAAACTTTAAATTAATTATTGTAGAACAAATGAACTTACATTTTCAACCAAAAGTTATTTAATATTCATATTGATTATATCACCATATCAAAAAAAAAAATTATACAATACTGAAATTATAAAATTTTATATTTTTTTCCTTATACTGATACATCAAATATAAAAATGTATCCAATAACAAGGATAATTTTTGAAAATGTGTGAATGTGGGTTTGAAATTTAGATGAAAACTCCAATTACTCTTTCATGAGTTTATTAATTAATTAAGAACTTGAAAATGGTTAAATACTAATCATAAAAAAGTCTTCAAGTATTTATAATAAACCTTTCCTCCTATTAATTAACCGATCTTTTCTATAATTGATTTTAAATTTTTATTATATGTTCACAATATTTTCACCATTCATGATCCCTATTTGAAGAAAGAAACAGTTACAACTCATTTATCTTGTTTCTGATCAATTCTAAATCAAAACTATCCAAGTTTATTTGTAGTATAAGAAACCCCTTGAAATAAACCTAAGTTTAGTATAAGTACATAATATAATACACACGAAAAATCCATAAACCAAAGTATCAAGACGTGTCATTCCTATAACCAGTCAACGCTTGCACGTGGCTCAATATCGATGATTGTGTATGATCTGCATCTTGTTGACCAAGTATTCTTTGATAAACATTGAAAACAATATGTCTTGCTTGCGGTCGAAGAGGTTTCTTCGACATTTTCATCACTTTTTAAAAGAAATTTGAAGCCAAACCAAAAACACTCGAAATTTCATTGACAGATGAATTTTTTCTTTTATTGCCATATGCAAATCGCTAATTTTTAAAATTTTTTTGCCATCAGATTCTGGTAGACCTATAGTTATCTGGTATTTTTATAAAATCGCGACATTTTGACATATTATCTTTTATAATTTATAACACAATCGTTCATCACTAGCCACTAGGTATCGTTACCGGTTCTGTGTCCATGAAGATTCTACAAAAATCAAAATGGCGGCTATGTTATACTTTTGTACCTACTCTGAAGACTAATGTCAGTTTTCATTGATGTTCAATTTAGAGTTTTAATTAGTATAACTCTTATTATTTACAATTCAAAGTATATTTTACAAGAAAAGCTTTAAATATGGCTTGGCAAATACCAGGTCCATGGAACCCAGGGTTATCTTTGGCACCTGATCCTTCAAGTATGAATATGGCCGGTATGAGTTCACTTACCGCCGAACAATGGAGCTTGATGCAACAGCAAAACTGGCAGCAATGGGCTCAATGGCAGCAACAGTATGCCCAATGGCAAACTCAATATGGTGATAAAGTGCGTTCATTATTTCAATAACATTTTTACTGTACTATGTATATGGATTTTAAAACATATTTTTTATTAGTAATACCTGTGTATAGATATATATACTTCCGACGTGGCATGAAATAGTACCTATCAAGTGTTAATAAATTTTAACAGTATATTTATTTTTTGTAGTATGCTGAGCAAATGCAAGGAATGCCACAATTGGGAATGGTTCCACCGCAACCAACAACACTTCCACCCCCTGCACCGCCCCCACCAGAAAACCCTCCTCCTCCACCACATGAAAATGACCAGCCTTTGTATTGCAAGCCCCACCTTCCGACAATGCTACCATCCAACCAAACTCAAAAGTATAATCAAAATTTTCATAATCATAATGCTGGCAACATAAATATAAGTAACAAACAAAATCAGACTTACAATACAGAGGATAAATGTGATGCACAACTTCAACCTACAAATTCAGTAAACAGTGAAGCATTAATGAAGCTAGCTGAAGAAGAGAGGCTGTTTGATGTTCAGTTTAAGAAATGGGAAGAAGAAATAGAAAAATGGAAGAAAGAAAATGTTAATCACCCAGACAAAAGAGCTTATGGTGAGTACGAACAAAAGTTTGAGGCTTGCCGTGCTCAACTACTAGAGAGAAGACAACAGATGAATCAAAAACGAGCAACACTTATGAATAGTGTGTCTCAAACATCAAGCACAGGTAATACACAAATTTCTTCATTAAATCAAAATACATGTTCTAAACAGACTCAACCAGGTCAGATTACCAAACAACCTCAAAGCTACCCAAATCAATCTTCTAATTATAATCAATATGGTGGTAATTATAAAGATGATTCTAGAAGTAACAATATAAGCATTGTTTCTCAAGATAGATATGATGCATATCAGAGTCATAATAGTTTCTCATCTATAAGAAAAAATGAAAGTAACTTAAACATGGCAAATAAGGGTTGTAAACAAGATGACATACCAAAACCAAGTTTTCTACCCACTGAAGCATCTAAAGGAATTCCTGGATTGGATTTGGTCCGACATCCAGAAAAGGCACCTCAGCAAGATATTATTGATATAACTCAAGAGGAAACAGACACAATTACTGAAGGGGGTCCTGATTACTCGACAATTTCTCAGGGAATTAATAATATTCTTGGAGATGCAAAAATCATGAATATACTTTCCATGGTGCAAAATCAAACATCAAATATAAACAACTCAGTTAACATAAAGACAGTACCTTCAGATGGACAGTGGAATAAAGGTTTTAATAAAAAACAGGATAATTTTGATAATAGACCACAAGGTGGTAATTTTGACAATCAATCACAAGGTGGTAACTATGATAACAGAGTACAAGGTAGTAATTATAATAATAGACCACAAAGTGGTGACTATAATATACAGGTTCAACAACAGCCAGAAAACAATTATGGAATTAGAGCTCCCCCACCATCCAATAACTTTGGTAACAGATTACTACCACTACCTAATACTTTTGTAAACAGACCACCAGCCCCATACAACTATGAAAATAGGCCAGTACCAATAAATCCGCAAAATAGACCACATCCACCAAATATTTTTGAAAACCGAAATTCTGATTATGGTGTAGCACAAACAAATTTTGATAATAGGTCTAACATGCTCAATGGACCTGATAACAACAGTCAAATGCCAATGACCAATTATAAAAAGCCTTATCCTAGGCAGTCACAAGATGAGTATGATCAAAGCTACAATGAAAATATAGACAGTTACGATCAGTATGGGCATCCTGAAAGAAGAAATACAGGGAACAAATCAGGACCTACTCCTCAACCTCTTCTTGAAATCAATACTGGCATAAACAAAGTGACTAGTTTTGACCAGAATCCAGATATACCAGCTCCAGTCCCAACAAAGGTGTCTTGGTCAGAAGACCCGTTATTTACACCATCAATCATTGTTGAATATGAGCATAAGTCCTTAAGGTTAAAAGGTAATTTCTATTATATTACTCTTTAGTTTATTACACGCTTTATATTAGCTTCACCTGTATGTATGTATGTATGTATGTATGTAACCGACTCCTTTGGACTCGATTTTGACCCACTTTTAACGGGCAGATTTAATTCAAACTTTGCGCACCTGTCAAAGATCGATGACAATGCAATAATCCGAAAAATAAAATGAAAAAAAATAAAAAAAATTAACTAAAAAATAAATAATAGTTTAAAAAAACTAGAACAAACGCTTTTAAAGCACATCAAACTAAAAAGTAAAATATAATTCCTAATTTAGGCTGAAAATGGTAATGAACAAAAAATACTGGTATTATTGTGAAAAAGCGTGGGTTGCTCGATAGACACAGAGCGCCCCACGCTTTTTCACAATAATATTTTATATATTTTTATTTTTTAGTTTTTTTGTTATTTTTTTCATTTTATTTTTCGTGTGTTCTAGTTTGTTTAAACTATTATTTTTTATATTATAAGCTTTATAATATAAAAAAAAACTTTGAGGTTTCATTGTAACATTATATTTAGCAAAACTTTTTTTTAAGTAAAAAAATTGTGCAGTTAGTTACTTAGTTGTCACAATTTTTGTGTACATTTTACAATCATGATATTAGTTAAATCACTACCAATTACGGTTCTAAGCTGTAATTATTCACTCTTGATACAAAAATCTTGTACTAGTCAGATTCAATTTAAATAAAATGTTTCCTTTCAGCTCATAAATTTATTGAACCAGTCCATACATTTGACTATAACCACAAATCAAAAGATGAAGATAAAAAAAGAGATTTTGAAAAAGAAGTGGAAGAACTATATACAAGAATGCCGCAAACTGAAAAAGAAAGCAGTCGACGTTTTCGAGACCCTTATTTACGGGATTATGAAAGAAGACCTGAAATGCCTAAGGAAGAATGTAGACCTAGACTACAAAGAGAAGAACTATCTTTCCGTGAAGAAAGACCTAGATTAGAAGACAGATTAGATGAAAGGAGACATGATGATCGTGATAGGTTTAGGCGTGAGGAATACAGGGATAGAGAAAGAGACAGGGATGTTGGTCGTGATAGAGAAAATGCTCGGGAAAGAGATATTAGAAGTCGGGATGCAAGAGACCGTGATTACGGACGAGATTTAGGTAGAGATCGCAATTTAGGACGGGAACGAGAATATGGAAGAGAAAGAGATTTAGGTAGAGACAGACTAGTAGACCATGTAAAGGAAAGAGATATTGATTATGGACGAGATAGAGATCTGCATAGAGATAGAGACGTTAAGGATAGAATAAAAGATTTAGAAAGAGATAGAAACCATAGTAGAAGTCGTGAAAGTGAGCAAAGAAAACGGGCTATTAGTGTGGACAGTGAAATTAGTACTGGTACAAAGAAAACTAAAACTGAAAACCCAAGGCCGATTGTTATGATTGATGACATCTTGGAGGAACCAGGTCGAAGTATGAGACCAGAAAAAATTGTTATTATTTTACGAGGTAAGATTTTTAAATCAATTTCATTTTCTACATTTATTTATTATAATAATACTAATACTCTTAGGTATAGCTGGATACAATTTTGTTTAATATTTTAAAATTATATTCTTAGATTTAAAAAAAACAACCTTGTTATTTAATAAAATCTATATTTTTGAGTACCACATGCCACAGTATTTTTACCACTAAGAATTTATGTAACTGAAAATATGGTATTATATCGCATCTGTTTCTAAAATGACTTTGTTCAAAGTAATGCTAGCCACGTTTTTGTGTGATAAATCTTAGGTTAGATACAGAGTCAAGACTTTTTTTTCTGTAAGTAGGTTTGTACAAACACTTTTACACGTCAAGCATTTTTTTTTAAACTAGTGCTAAGTATGACTCCGTACGTCAAAATGAATTGGTTTTTGACACATGGAGACGATACCCTTTAATATTACTTCAGGCTTAAACTGTGGAATCGGTAGTTTGATTGACTCTATTTATTTAATATTTTTTTATAAAGATTCAGTCATTATAATGAATTGCAGGTCCCCCTGGCAGTGGAAAATCGTATTTGGCGAAGTTAATACGAGACAAGGAAGCTGAGCATGGTGGTACAGTTAGGATTATGTCCATTGATGACTATTTCATGCAAGAGGGGGAAACAGAGGAAAAGGATCCGATTACTGGGAAAATTGTATGTATCAATGTTATTTTGTTGCATGAAATCAAATTAAATGTAAGTCTCTATAATAATAATAATCTCTATATAATAAATATTTGGTTGGGCGTGGTAGGTAAAAGTTTGCGCATTTACTTTTAGTAAGATAAATTTCGAGAAATTTAAAATTACAAATGAATTCTATCTTTTTAATATTAAAATATTAGAGTAGGCTATTGCGCCGTTCGAACAATATGTTTTGTAATATTTTATTCCTGTGTAGCAGAGTCAAAATTAAGTGTTAGGTTGAGGTTACAAGAACTATGACTTCCGTATCTCAAATTCCAATACGTTTTTGACATACGCGACGTTTGACAGATAGATTAAACAAACAACGTCAAACGTCACTTTAAAAGAAGCGTACAGGTCACTGACATTCCTTTCGCATTGTGTAGATGTGAACGTCCAACTATAGTAATTTTTTTTTTTTATGAGAGAGTTTAGGAATTATTTTTATTTATGAAAACACAAACTTAAATACCATCGTTTTTACAATTTGTTATATTCCATATATTAAAGTATTTTAAAAACAAAATAAAAATTACAGGTTAAGAAACCTTTATTAACATATGAATATGATGAAAAATTGGAGGAAACATACATATCATCCTTAAAGAGAGCATTTAGGAGGAGCATCACTGATGGCTACTTCTCATTTTTGATCTTCGACGCTGTCAACGACCAGTTAAGAAGTTATGCCGACATGTGGAATTTTTCCAGACAAAATGGATTTCAAGTAGGTTTCAATTAATAAGTTTTTTTTTTACGATTATTTTTCCAGAAATACCATTTGCATATTGTTCAATTGTTTTGGATCGCACATAAGAAGCGATTTTTAGATTATCGATTTACTTAAACTGGAAACTTGTGTAATAAGTACCCGCAATGCTTCAATTTTATTATAATGGTGTTCATCGATTAAAGCAGTCTAAAAACGAAATCTTTAGGTTTACATCTGCACGATGGAGTTAGATCCACAAATTTGCCACAAACGGAACATACACAATCGTAATCTCGAAGATATTCAAGTTATCTGCTCGCGATTCTTCGAAACTCCCGCGCACCATATTCTCCTCGACCCGACTACGTTACTTCAGAGTGCCGCTATTACTGATGTTACTATGGAAGATGCTGTTTCTATGGAGGACGTTCAAGAAACAGAGGTGAGGTATGAGGCCCTTTGACGACTTTGGGCGATTTTTCCGACGTATTTGAAGCTGACTAACTTATGGCATATGGCCGATGTGTGTTAGTTTAACGTTTGATTACTAGAGTTTTATTTGTGATAGTTTTGGGAGAATCCTTCATAACCTCCAAAGTGTCGCTTCTGATCATCAACATGTGATCGAAATTTAACGGAAACGCGCGATTAAATGTAGCATTTTGAGCAGCTATATTTTTGACTTTTCAGCTTGATTGATTTGAAATTTATTAGATGTATGCAAATAAGTTAATTTTGCCAGGATAGGTTAATGAGTTATATTTCAGCCAAGTAACTTTACCAAGATGTCCCGGCAGGTCGAAGGTAGTTTTACCTCAAAGTGGGAGAGAATGGACGATGTCAACCAACTAGGTAGGTGTTTGTGACGGACGTTTTATATCTATTGTATATTATTGTGTATTGTTTAAAACAGAAATTTTAACAACAAAAAAAAAATGCAAGATTTTCTATAACTATTTTTTTTTTAAATTTTTAGGTTGATTCTTTTTCAAAAATATTGTTCTTAATTTTCCTGTACCCCAATTAAAACATCTTATATGTCCCTTGTGTTAATGATATAAATATTTGGTATTACTAAAGTTGTGGGCTTGTTCCAGCCCGGCTTGATGGTACGAGCAAACCACTCCGACCGAAGCTGTCCATGGAAGACTACCTTCAGTTAGACGAATGGACCCCTAATAAGGCAAAACCTGGGAAGAAAACTGTAAGTATGATTTGTTACAAGTTCAAATGCTTTAAAATATTTCTGCGTACAATTATTTTAGGTTAAGCCGTTTTGAATTTCGCGATTTTTAATCGGCTGTGGATAGAGCATATTTGATTGTCCACGTTGTGGATACTAAAAATTGAATTTTCGATGTATTTTCGTGGTTGTCGGAGCACTGAATACTATTTTGTAATATTAAACAACACAGATTTATTTATGCATATAAGGCGGCAAATTATAGCTTTTTATTTAATTACTGATACTACAAAATGTTCAGGTTATGGAGTACTGGAGTACGAGATCTCGTGATGAATATCTCCAGCGTAAAAATGGGTTTCTACTGTAATTTACGTTTTGTAAAATATAACACCAAAACAGATTTAAGATAAATTTCAATCAGAATTTATTTAACATTATTTATCGGACGCACAAACAGTTCAACTATGTCATACCTCGTAATAAGTATCAGAATTTTTTTAGCCCGTTTATTTTCTATATTTTATTTTATATATTAAAAAAAAAACGGTTTCTATGAACGCGTAATGCGTGACTGATACAGTAGTACTACATATATTTTTATGCCCTGCAAAATGCAACATAACACAAAGGAGTAGTAAGACGTATTCGTAAGTTCCAAGTAATACTATATTAGTCTGGAAATAGCCCCCGGTAAGATTTTTGTATGAGTTTCGCATTTCACACATTATTTCTATCCAGCCGATGAAGTTGGTGGGTGCAATTTATATGTGGGGTTTCATCGTTTTTCAATTAAAACAGGTTCGCTGGGCAGATATAGAAGAAAGAAGAGAACAAGAAAAGATGCGTGCCATCGGATTTGTTGTCGGTCAAACTGATTGGAATCGAATGACTGACCCCACCATGGGGTCCAGTGCGCTCACTAAGACTAAATATATTGAACGCGTTAGACGCAACTAGACAGTCATAATCATTATTTTTAATAGATATAAATAAAACGTGTGGGTGCATTCATAGTTCAAATAACATCGCTTTTTTTTTTAAATGTCTGGCCTTACGCCAGTGTCCTATAGTAGGAAGCTTTCAATTTAAAACAGAAAACTCTTAGACTGTCTATTGTCTGGTTGAATATCGGTTTTAAGGTGACTTAAACATAAAAGATAATCTGAATTACCATATTTTAAGAAGTCAGAATGATTTTTTAAAAAGGGTTGTTAACGGAAGTTCAGGCCTTACATTGTGGTATTAACAATATGCCTTAAGACAGTTCTAAAAAGAGCATAGCTAGTAACGTTCTAATATCTACGAATACGTAGTTTTATACGGAGTAATCCGTATAAAATCGTAACCGTATTTATTTAAATGTATTAATATTTTTAATAAGTATATTAGATCAGTGTCTAGGTTCACATAAGCATGTAAAGTCGTTTTGCTTAATATTTTAAACTTGTATTCAAAATGTCAGTTGCATATGAATAAATAAAAGGTTTAGCTTAATCAAAACTCTATTTTGTATGAAGTGGTGAAATTTCCATTTAGCTGCTAAATATTTCACTACATATAATATGAATAAAGCTATTGTAAAATTATTTGTTTTATTTAAGCCTTTATTGATTACATGAATTATATTAGACGTTACTTTTGGTCCATAGCGTTAACAAACTTTGAAAAATGTGATTTATCGCTATATTTATGGACGTTGCTAAATGGATGATACGTTGATATTTTGGTCAAATGCTTCTCCTTGTCATCAGATGCCGCGTCATTTTTGTCGGTTTCGGTGTCGATTTTCACAGTTTTATCTAATTTTAAACGTGTTTTTTCGAATTCATTACCCTCTTTTCCGGCTGACATAATCATGATTGGAGATGTGCTCATAGCCGTCATATGGTCCTTGATACATTGTTGAAGTATGTGCAAAAAGAATAAAAATGCTAAAAGCGTCAACGCGGACATAGCAGCTTTGCTTTTATGTTCGCCGCCGCTTGAAGAATGACTGTGAACAAAAAATAAATACAAACTTAGTGAATATTATTTATTTTATAACAATATTGATTGTTTAATTTTTTTTGATAAATAATGTACAAATTAATTACTGAATTTGTAAAATATAGAACGCTATCTAACCTTTAACAAAATAATATAAATCGACGGTCCCTACGTATAATCAAGACATGTCAAAAATCAAATTTTTTTTATATATTTCATTTTTGGCTTTATCTTGTCCTATACCTTTATGTGTATGTAAGATGATTTTTAAATATTTTACGGATTACTTGATAAACTTATCGTATAAGAGAACAAGTAGATTGGTTTCAAAGAATTGATGTCGTATAAACGAACAAGTAACAACTATACATATACCTTTGCACTATGATATTAAAAGCGCGCCAAACGACGCGAGCGGGAGTCATGTCGAACATAACGGGGGTTTCCCTACTAAAACGCACTATTATAATACAGTTAAGTGGTGTATTTTATAGTTATTTTGCATTAATAATATCACTATATTACTGTGAAACATGAGTAGATCAAAGTTATTAGTAGATATTGCTCTAAAAATACTATATTATTCGTTTCTTAATAGTTTCAGTATGCTAGCACGTCAAAACTTATATAATTTATTTTGTAATCTAGGGGATCATTTTCATCAGTGGTCTTTTATTGCGAGTCATATGAAGCTAATAGAGAGTGATGAATGGTCCCAGAATTCTAGAAGATGAAATGTTTTTAAGTTTTTTATGCCACTTTTATCTGATATGTGTGTTCGAATTGTATATACCACCAAAGACAAAGCTACATCAGTGTGATGAAGCTGGATCAGTGTGACTTTTTCAATAAAAAACACTACCTCACCATTGGATAGTAAGAAATTAAAATATCAGTTTCATTTCTGCAACAAAAAAACTAGCCAGTGAGATGGAAAACGTTGATTAAATGGAAGCTCAATCAAATCCATCAAAAATTTGTTCATCAATGTTTGATTTTTAAATAATTAATGCTACCATCAGTGTTCTAACCAAAAATAGTAAAATTATATACGGATATAGTTTTACTATTTTTGGTGCTAGAATAAAAGAAGCTGTTACATGTGGGACGAAAAAATTCCTAAACGCGGCGCTAATGAAGTGTCAAGTTGTTTGTTTTATTTCGTAAAAAAAGATTAAAAGAAAGTTTTAGATTCTGGTCAGACAACTCTGCAGGCCAGAATCGCAATGATATTGTATTTACGTACTTGTTTGTAAGCAACAAATTTAAGATGACTTGTGCCATCGTTTCTTTGAAAAGGGACATACTGAAAACGAGGCGTTGATGCCCTTATAGAAAGATCAGTAAAAACCAAAATCATTTATGTACCTGATGAATACTAGCCGCTGCTTCGTTGAGCTAAACAGAATGTCCACCCTCTAGTCGTAGAAGTGGATCAAGATTTAATTTTAGATTTCAAAGAATGGCTACATACTAAATACTGGCTAAAACATACGAACTCTGAGAAAATGATTTGGTATGGAAACAAGAGAAGTTAAAATTCAAAGGAGCTGTCCAGACGGTTTAGAATTTGAATATGATTTATTTGAAGTTAAAGCTATAGAAAACTGATCTGTGACTACAATTGGACACAAGAGCAAGAAAAAAGAAAGAGCAAAAGATCATACTAGAGATGTTATACAAACAGCCAATTGCGATAACTGAAGAAAAGTACAAGGACTTGATTACTTTGTGTGACAATGATAATTCAAAAGTATCATGTATATTATAAAAACCTTCATATTTCTAAGGAAGTCCAGGGTGATGACGCAGATGATTAATTAGATAACTTAGAAACTAATTCACTTAATTTTTGATTTTTATGTTGAAAAAAAATTATAATTAAATTAAATAATAAATCAGTCTGAATGAAGTCTGTAATGATAATTAGATAAGTTATATCGTCACATAAATAAATTATTATACTAGTTTATTGTTAATCTCTTTTTAGAATAGTTGATTGTGAAGCTTTAATTATTATTACCGTAATTTTCTATTTAAAATTCCTATTTAATTGTGTTTGTTTAAAAAAAGTAGATAAGATTAAAATTGAAAACAAACGTATTTAGTTAAAAAAATTATTTTATTAATAACAATTGTGCTGATATTATTATTTTAATTCAGTTCATGTCGTTATTTACATTTCCCAATCCTAATCATATAACCACGTACTCTAATAATAAAATAACCAGGCGTATTAAGAGATATGCCTAGAGAAGATGCCTAAATATTGCCCATATCAGAAAAAATTAATAAATGTCTTCTAGTCGAGCACTTTTTTCGAGATGACATAAAAAAACGAGTGGAGCATGACTTACAGACCCGAGCGGTAACGCAAGTTCGGCTCTGAGATCGAGAGCAAACAACGTATACGGCGAGAGAACGTTGAGGTATTTACTACCACGGCTAATAAATGGTCTACCAAATCACATATTAGATTGCCTAACGCCAACCAACATAAACAGCAAATTAAAAAACTACTTTTATATGCATTTGTCCCGCTCCTTAACCAGACTGCTATGGTTACATTAATACAAACCACAGCGGTTTTCTAATGTACCTTATTATAATTGTATTATATTTTTTTGTAAAATAAAGAAATTTAAAAAAAAAAGTATATTTTTTACTTTAATGGGTAAAAATTTTAGAATATTCAAGTCGTACTCGTTACGTTTCATTATAATAACATAAGTACACGTTTTAAAATAAATTTAAAGAAAAACTAGTTGATATTATTGATTTGGTATCTCCAACGTAAAAACGGTTAACTTAGACTTGACCGACAGGCTTATATAAAATGTATAATGGAGAAACAGTCATCTATCGGGTTTTTCATGAAAACATGTATAAATTTACAAATGGTTAATAGAATCATAAACTTGAATTATCTTATAAATCATTTCAGAAAAAAATAATATCAAAAAGTGATAGATAAATTTCTAGAGAGATTCAAACATACATTACGCTCTCCTGAAAACCTATAATTTTGACATGTCGCTTTGTACGTAGGGACCGTCGAAATATTATGCTTTAATTTACGATATTTGTATTATTAGTATTCTCTTATTGATATAATTATAAAAACATTACTGCTTGGATGATGTATGTCCATGTGAAGGAGGCTCATACGTGTAGTAAAAATGTTGGTCGTGTGAAGTGGGGTAGTCGGCGTATCTGTTAAAAACAAAATATATTATAATAGTTTATAAATGTACATACCTTGTTTTTTAACTTTTCAGGGTTGTCTTTATATTTTTGGTTTTAATAACGTCATCATTTTAAATTAGGTATGTTATACCTATTAATTACGACTGTATTCAAACGCACCATACGTTTAAATAGTTATTGTCTTGTCATTATACAGTGGAATCTCGATAACTCGAATGTCAAGGGATCGGCAAAAAAATCGAGTTAACGAGTTTTCGACTTAACAAGAACTTCGAAATACATACAATTTCACTGCTGAAATTTCGACTTACAGAGGCGCGATTTTTAAGTGAAATTTTTGATTTGTAGAGTCGAATTTGAATAACAATTTAACTTAAGTTTTGTAGTATATATTTTTTTATGAATGTATTCATTCATTGCACGTGTTCAAGACAAAAACAATCGTCTTAGAAGCCCCGAAATCGAACATTCATTTTGGATTTTATTGCTATTATTTCGGGGAATTCCTAGTAAGACGTCATTATTTTTTAATTACGACGACTTTCAGTCTCCTTTTTGAAATTCGAGTTATAGAGTGTAAATATGTATTATCAATACTTCGTAGAGAAATAACATTTTATTCGAGTTACAAAGTCTAAATAATTCGAGATACCGCGTATTTTAGGGGTTCAGCGGAAGGGAATGGCATTTTTTTCGCCTTACTGAGGATTTCGTCTTATTGAGGTTCGAGTTATCGAGATTCCACGGTACTATGATAAATATTCGAAACGCCACTAAGCATAAGAGATTTTAAATCGCCGGGTATTTTTTTCGATTGATGATTGCTTCGGGATTAAAAGAAAAATATTTCTGACTAAACAAGTTTTGCAAATTATCAAACTTACCTTTCAGCCATCTGTTTCTGTCCCACGCCCAAATGTGAAACGAAATTCTCCATTTCAGTTGTTTTTTTGTCACTGGTTGAGACAATACTGAGACATTTCATACTTATGCCTATGCTCTGATAACTTTTATTGATGTGCTTCAGATCCGCATAATGCATAACGGGATACGCACTTGACACTATGACAAGTGAAATTAATGTAATGCGCTATCTTTTAGCTAATAACACTTTATTGTAACACATTGAGCTTGGTATTGTATTTGTCATAGCTTAAATTAAAAGAAAACACATTCTTATTTAAATTAATTTATTTTACAATCACATTCACACAAGGACGTCCTCAAACACACAATCACAATAATATACAATATCAATTCTAAACTATGAGGTGATATATTTTTATATCACACATAACATCAGTCGTTGTTACAATATATAAATTGGCGGATTTACAATAAGAAAAAGTAAATTATTTGCCAATTTTATCGTATGGACGGAAGTTTTCACTGGGAGTGGAATTTAAAAATGCCTAAGTTATACCACTAGAAATAAGTTAAATAAATAAATAATTTAAATTATGAGAATATTTCTTCTCCACAACAATGGGTTGAGCATCTATTACTGTACTACGTTTTACGAACCATTTAAATTTTAACATTAGCTTTGTAATGCGAAATGGTGTACTGTCTAAAGTTTGGAATCGTAATTTTTAAAATATCTACAGGGATTTTTCGTTACAATATATCGTTTTGGTTTTTACATTATGTGCGTGTTACACTTCATTGCATTGAAGATACAATTCGCGACAATCAACGCCAGATCTGCCTCGACGTCCTGCTTCGTAGAATTGTTGGGATGTTGCGCCAGATTGTCTCTCTAGGACGAAACTAGCAGCGTACCTATAAATAATCAAATTGTCGACACTATATCTTACGAAAATATTTATATACGTATTTTTAAGAACAATCTTTTAACTGATGTTTGACACTTCAATGTTTACGGGAGAAAGTTATATCGTCAGACCCTTTAACTACATGAATCCCTTCAACTAAATGAAGCTCTGATATTTAACCTGGATATCATTATTATTTTAACCAAAATGTACTTACGTTCCGAGTTGACAGAAGACACTCTTGGGTCCAATATCTGTGGAGCATTCGCTATTCGCATCGCAGACGTATTTTTGAAGACATTTGTCATCGTTAGTACCGAAGGACCTCACATAGGTTTTCATCATGGCAATGCCGGCTAGCGCTGCGTCACTGACTGAGTCTTTACGTCCCATGGAGCGTGCGGTCAGCGATCGGTGAGAGAATGATGTCTTCAACGCATCCAACAGGTTCACAACGATGTTAATAAACTGTGACAGTGAACAGAACGCTATGTTAAACTCGAGTTAAGAAACAAATACTATATTCATAATATTAATGGACTTTAAATTAAGTGCTTGAAATGGGATACCCCCGTCCTCGTGAATATGGAGTTCTGCGTCAAATCTATATTTTGAAGTTGGCTTATGAGGATTGCATAATGTATTATAATATCTACATAATGATGGGATAGAAATTAGAGTAGGAAGGGAGCCTACCTCTCCAGCCTGCTTTGCCATCGAGGCGACTTGGTCGGGATCTTTGGCACCGAGCATCGTCGACAGAACCGCAGCCAAAATACTCTGAAGCAAGCGAGAAGCAACACCATATCCATAACCAAACTTTACTATTTACAATCAAATATCAGAACAAACTCAAAACCTTTTGAGGATGTTCTGAGGTGCGACGGGATATTTGTCTTGATACTTGGTGAGGAATTGTACTCTAGGTGCTTTCAAATTGATAATATGAAGTAGCAAAGGTAAATGCATATCTACATCGATGTTAGTGGATCAGTAAGACGTGATGATGATTCTTTTGTACAACTATTTGTGACCATGCGTCGCTATATAGGTTTTCTTACCTGCATCGGGGAGTTTCCGTTATCAACTTTATCGATTCCGTCACTAGAAGCACCTCCCCCAAGGATGGCTGTTAAGATTTTGAGGCCCATTGAAAGGAGGTTAGCCCATGGAGATGGAGCAACAGAGTCTGTGTCAATGTTGTCACTCTTGTTTGGTCCAGTGGTGCCAGGATTGAAAAGCATTTGCATTATCATCCCTGAAAATGATTTTCACATTGATGTTATTATATCCTTTTTTTTAATATGACATTAATTTAATAACAATAATAAACAAAAACAAACAACCCTTTCCATTACCTAACATTTTTATAATTATTTACTATAAATATAACAAAAACGCAAAGCGGCCGTCCGTTCAATTAACATCATTTGTACGTAACGCAATAATTACCTACATTAATGGATATTTTTTTTGTATTCAGCAAAATTTTGCTTACCAAGCATATTTGACCACGAAAAGCCGCCATCTGAAATAGAGTTGTTCTGAATTTCGTCGATGTCGTCAAGGGCTACTTTTTTCAATGCATTGGGTTTTTCAGCAAACTTGCGCTCTTGTACCATTTGCTCGTGGGGTAGAGGTAGCGAGTTGCTGTAGTACTGGGGATTTTGTGTTCGGACGTTGCTGGTAGCCTGAAATAAAAATAGTTCCGTACTGAGCCAAGGGTTTATTTGGTTATTAAATAAGGAAAATATTTTGGTGTCGACACAATCTTCCAGTTTTTAAAGATTGTTTTCAGCGGAACCTTTACAATTCTTTGCAGATTTATGTATTAATTATTTTTATGTGGCTTTAATTGTAAAAAATATAATATATATATATTTTTTATTTAATAACGTTAATCCTTAAATTTTCTGTTCATCATTATTTAAGTAGATTAATCAGACAAGTTCTTACGTTCCCGGTTCTTAGGTTTTGTATGTTTGGAAAGATAAAAATAAATAACGTACTTGTGATATAAGAGGTGCATGTTGAGGGTACGCCAATGTGTGAAGAATTGCTGATGAACTGATAAGGGCCAAAAGCGCCCATCCTGCTACTTTTTGATGCATTCTGAAAAAAAGGTAAGTTTAAATATAAATCGTCACAGTTCATGTGTAAAATACCCTATTTTATCTCAAAATACGTCTTCGAACAAACTCTGTATGATTTTCTCGAAGCGAGCACGCGCCAGCCGATTAGAAAGTGTTCTGATGAGCGATTCGCGTAGATTGATTGCTTGTTCGGTACTTGTAGAAAGTGGCCCCTCGCATTCATTTACGAGGATGTCGACTAATTAGAGGATGTACAATTAAAATAATTGACTTTAAGTAATTATTTAACTTTCACGTCAAGTTATTATCCTAAAGTGACACGGCTTCGATAAAGGTACAGGATGTGTTCACAAAAAGAGTATCCATGAACCTTTAACCTAGAATTGTTGTATTAAACAAGTTAGCCCTTTAATGTTTTCATTTGGTGGCTTCGACGGTAAATAATAGACATTTTTAATATCATCTGAGTTGTTTAAGGTGCAATTAAGAAATTAGCACAATAGTGCATATCTATTTACAAGACGTCTCGTCTATCCGGTATGGAAGTATGCTAGCGGTTTGACCGACAGCGAATACAGGTGACCCGGTCTTCACTAACTGTAGTGTCACCTCTCGCACCTGTTAATAAGGTGTTATAAATAACGGTAAACGAACTAGACACTTTCCAATTTTCCTTAGTACTTTTGAACTTATTAACAAGCATTCGTTATGCATTTACAAGTTTTTATTACGCGTTTGTCGCGTTATACTGGTTTTAAGCGACAGTGTCCGGCGAGATTCTCGCAGGAGAAATTTGCTGTTTCAAGTCATAATGCTTATGTTTTATGTATGTACATAACAGTGACTGAAACTTACTGAAAATACAATACATCGTTTCTTGTCGGTTAACGTGTGAAGAGGAGAAAGCAGGAAATATGAATGGGAAAACCAAATGACAAATTACCATTTTCACATTAATTGCTTTGATTATTGTTTCAAAAACAAGTAGCAGTTATTGTTCTACTTGCTTCAAGCCATCGAGGTCATACAATTTCGAAGATAATTTCTATTAACTATTTTCTATTTCGACTAACTAGATTCGGTACAACTTTAGTAATCCTTAATTTACTAAACATATGATTAGTTACATTCAAAATGTAATTTGAAAGAAAGTGACACCGCTATGGCTGAATTAATGTGCCATCGACCTGACCTAGTGACCTTGTGCGCCGGCGCACCACTGCGCTGTGAAGACCGTGACTAAATTAAAAAATTTACTTTCGGCAAACTATTTACCTGCTTCCTCTGTGACATTAATGGTTCTATAATTAATTTAAATTATAATTTAAGTTCTACCTACTTTTTACTTTTTTTGTAAAAAAGGTTGTTGAGCTATTCTGATTTGCTACGGCTTGATTTTGGTGTGAACTTTAAAAGTTTATTCCAAGGTGTTCGCACAAACCATGCTCATACCGATTATATATGTATGCTGTGGGTATTAGAACAAGACGCTGGGCAAGTCAAACATGGCGATAGGTGAAAGCAGATATCTTTGCGTGTGTGCCGTGCAAGGTTAACGTTTTTCTAATTTCGGAGCGAAGGTATAACCTGCTACACCGTAAACAACATAACTTTCGAACGGAAATGGGTCTTGGAAAAGTGATCACATCCCTGATTTATTAATGTGACAGTGACAGTAGTCACTAGTGTCAAAAATGCGCGGTTTATTTTGTTAATATCTCCATTTTTACTGTTTCAACCAAAATAAAGCAATTATTATATTATTTACACGAATTGCGTAATGCCTTCATAGTATTTATCTGAGTATATACAATTATATAATTGTTATATAATTTGAATTTTGTAGGTTTACTTATTTTCGCTTGCTCGATGACGCCGACTCGCGACGTCCGCTTTCTAATACCGAGCTGTTCTGTGCGTGTTTGCACGCGGATATTAACACCGTTTTATAAATATTTATTCATTGGTATTCTGTAGTTTGGTTATTTATATTTTTGCGCTTTGCCTATATAACGCATATTTTTAATATGCGAAAATATTGGAGATAAATGTATTTAAAAACATTTTAACATTATTTCGTGTGGTTGTGTTTTGTACAGATAAAGCTATTACTTAAAAGCACAGTTCTAATTATATAAATAGTATGACAACCCTAAACTAGATTTCGTTATAATATTAATTAGTGTTACTACAAAATAAACAGCATAAACTCTCGTAGAGTATAAATAATTCATAGATGGAAAAAACTTTATTTCCGTAATTATTTACCGCTAATATTTTAGATTCAAATCTATGTGTTTGCACTATTAGTTTTAACATGCATTTAATGTTCTACAAATGCAATGGATGCGTGCAACACCGTTACGTTGCTCTAATGTTCTCGTTTATCAATTAATAGAATTACTTGAGTATGATAGATATAATCGACTAAGCGTATTATATTTTACTAACTTCACATGCCAGAAATTCTTAAACACGTGCCTTATTGCGTGTAATTTTTATGCATCACGTTTTCCTCGTTTCCTATATACCACGGTAAAGTAGCCGCACGATTGGAAGATGCTAAATTTCATTGCTATGTGAAAAATCATATGATATGTTAGATATTTCTATTCTTTCCCATACCATCTTCACTAAAATATTATTGTATTAGTAACAAAAGTTACCAGCTTTAAAAAATGTAAACCAAAAGTCGATTCTCATCAAAGTTTCCGATAGATCGACTTTCTCAAGATCATTATAAGCGGTCGTGGACTCGTTTTCATTTTTTCATACAGGATGCAAGTGAATAACCTATAATTTTTGTTTGAAAGGTGGTTACTCAATCGCCGGCCGGTGGGCACCTCTCACGAGACGTCAAAACTTTCACTTAGTTTTTTGGGTATCGTAATCCATCTACTTTTTTAATAATGGATATAAGATATTTTTTTGATTTATGAACTTCGATTAACTTTTCAAGTCGTAAGCGACAAAGATGGATAACGAGTTGATAACTTGATACTAATCCGAGCGTGATATTTGAATTCAAATTCCTCATTTTATTAAACCATTCAAATTCAACATTTTTATAATTGGAAATTAGAAACGTTTTAGAACTAATGTTCCTAAGAGGTGCTATTTATAAAATCTTTATATATGTTTAAAAATTGTTTGAACATTTTTATAACTTTGGTTTAAGATTGTACCAAGATTCCCTAATTATAAGGGTTGAGATTTTTGTTGCCCAAATCCGGTCACTTCGGACCGTTCAAATTACATAATTATTTCGTAATTTGTACTCGTTATTTGTATGTTGCTACGAGAAATTGTCAGTGTTGGCACGCGAGTGTATTGACCATTCAAACTTTCTTTACACTATAGCCGTTGGGAGACGTTTCATGACTTTTAATGACGCTCAAGAAGTTATACAATGTAAATATTCCAAGTAAGCTATGCAAAGAATGAACGATTTGAAATAAAATTTGTTTAATTATTTTAAGATAATTAAATTGACCAAATTTGTCTCATACAAATGATTCGTAAAAAGGCCAACCAATTGTAAATAAAAGTTCAATTAATGAAAATAAAAGAAAATTTCAAATACATATTCCCTTGAACTTGAATTAATTTCATAAAGTTAGTTCTGCTCTATTTACGGATTAGAGTAATTACAATCGTAAACCGTTAAGTAAAACTAACCGCGATATTATACGGATATAATTTATTGCGATGAACTACTAACAATGGCGGGAAAATAGTAGCTTGATACCGTACGACAGAAAAGCCTAGTTTTCAGTCTTCAGCGAGCTTTTTATTATTTGAAAACAAAAAGCGACATCGTATCGATACTGTCAAGTAATTGTATTATACGAGTATGTTTTTACCAAAGATTATGATATTTTTCGTTTTTGAATTGTCAATATATTTAGACAATGTAAAACCTGTTTTGTCTTAGACACAGCCTAATTCAGGGTCCTACGTTTTCACATTTTAGAAAGTGAAGGTTTTTACGTGTGAGTAAAGGAGAATAGCTAAACTAATGCTGACGACATCTTAATAGCCGTAGAAAATTCGTGACTAATATGTTTTGTATTATTTGCCTTTTGTTTTGAATTTAATTCAAAAGAGCGTTACGGTGAAGCTTTTTGTTACGTAAGATTTCTTATTAACTTTCATTATGCATCGTAAGCTTTCACTTGCCGATTTAATTATAGCTTAAAGTATTTACTATTAAAATCAAAATATTATAATATATTAATAATTAAACTGGACGAAAAATAAACGTCACTGTAGGAATATTGACATTACAAAATCTTTGAGTAATTTTAATTCTGTAACTTTAGTATCCTTGTCATAGTAAGTTTTAAGTATTGTTTTAATAATTCATATTTTTGCATAAATATATATTTTTTTAATATTAGTTTTTTAAGCGCTTCTTACATATTACTTATTCAATTTAATTGTATAATTATTAATTACATTTCTTTTCATTGAATAAATCCACTCCCAGGATCTAAAATAAAATATTTAAATTCCCTCGCAATCCAGGAATAACCAAAAGTCTTACCTTGCTTCCAAATAGGTTAACACAAATCACTGAACACTATCTTCCAGACTTATCACTGGTGAAAGTGCGTGTTTACTGTGCGATGCTTTGACTTGCAATGAGCGTGGTGCCTTGAACTTCACATATATATAGTATGACCCAGTTCTGATGGGTAACTGTGTTTGAGTGTCCACTGCATCCCGTTGCTTGGGTGTGCTCCCCTTGGATTTTTCCAAGGACGTTAATCGACCTTATTACCCATATAATGGTGGTTAAATGGGGACGCCTAATTAAGTCAGAAATATAGTTAAAACTAGGCAACACAAATCTATATTGGTGACTTCTAACTAAAAACCTCCTGTGCAAATGGGATGAGATAGCAGAAATTTCTAACACCTAAACATTATCTCTTATATCTAACAAATTGGAAATGTTTGTTAGTTCTTCGACATTTTCGTTGAATATTTATTCATTTTTATTTTATGCCGCTTTG